GGGTATCAGGTTTGGGGCTGAAGATTGCTGCGAGGTTAGTACATATGGGAGCTTTCCGAAAAGAAGGGGGTACCTTATTTTGGGGGGGTGCTTGTAATAAGGATCCTACTATTTAGGGTACGATCTTAGGGTCCCCTATTTTCGGAAACCCCCAAAGGGGCTTTGGGGTTTTAAGGTCTAAGTTTATGCGTCGAATTCCGCTGGGAGGGTAGGGGGTGCTCAAAATTCTGGATCCGCCCTCGGAAACACTGAATCTGCTTACGGATCCGCTTGTTCAAGTGCATTTTTGGCCATTGGTACTCAAACTCCGGCAGAGGCAAAGGGCCCACCAAACCCTAAACCCTAAACCCTAAACCCCTAAACCCCTAAACGAAGTCATGCCGCTGCTATATCACGAACAGCCACAGGATCGTCACAAGCAGCAATTAAAGGACCTTGCTGGTCCGTCACTATGCAGACCCTCCTGCATCTAAGGTTGAACCCATGGGCCCCTACCATGGGCCCTTAGGGGATTCTAGGATCCCTTAAGGGTGTGTATATATAGGGTATATAGTAAGTATATTAGAGTCCCAGGGTTAAGGACCTATACTACAGGCCATGGGTTCTACCTTAGACTGCAGCACAGAAGGCATCAGCATCATTAGCAGAAGCGCGCCTTCATGCGCTCCCACTTCGACGGAAGGAATCGGGCTTTGGGTGGATGTGCTTTTCGCTCGGGATGTATTCTGGCCTCGCGGACACCACGAGCACAGTGGCGACATGCTGAAACTCCTAAAATAGTACTTGGAGGTTCATGGGATTACAGTTATAAACAGCATTATAAGGGACTTATATCCCACTTATATCTAGCCATGAACCTCCAAGAAGGATGAGCAGAATCGGCTTAACCCCGGCCTCTGGGTTGTCAAACTCAACCATTTCAGTCGTGTCTGTGGCTGCGCTCGGGTACATCCTGCAGGAGAGCACGCCCTAAACCCTAAACCGTGGTTTAGGGGTAAGGGTATAGGGGTTTTGTAACTTTAAGCATGGAGCAGCCTTGAACGTATCCGCCGAATGATCTCCAGGTCTGTATCGGTCAGGACCACCTGCCGCAGACCCCTTCCGCAACTTTGCAAAAGCTGCAGATGTCAGGCCACTCTTTCGGGACATTTACCCAACCAGTCCCACGGTTTAGGGTTTAGGGCTTAGGGTTTAGGGTTTAGGGTTTAGGGGTCCCTAAAGCCTAAACGCTAAACCGGCGAAGAACATGCTCCGAAAGACGCAGGAACTGAAGTGCCGAACTGTCTCGGGGAAGTTAAGGAGCTCAAGACGTGCATTAAGGACTTATTACAATTTACGGTTTAGGGTTTAGGGTTTAGGGTTTAGGTTTCATGTACAGTCGTGTCCATGTCACTGCAAGGGACACGACAACGGACACAAGTTTGGCAGAGCCAGCGTGCAGTCTTGCTTCGGACACCCTGCCTCTCTCTGATTCTTGTGGTCCTTCACGGTGCGCCACGCATCTGGGTTGTCCTCGGCATGCATCATGGGTGCATATCTTGGTTAGATAGCTAGCTAACAGCAGTTTAGATAGGGAGATAGACTGAACGAGACAGAGAGAGAGAGAGAGACATGGATGGATAGATAGATGACATAGAGATAGAGATAGAGATGGAGATGGAGATGGAGATGGAGATGGAGACGGAGACGGAGAAAGAGATAGATAAAGATAAGACTGATAGGCAGATACATAGATTCCCTCGACAGATAGATCGATTGATCCATGGTTAGCTAGTTAGTTAGTTAGTTAGTTAGTTAGTTAGTTAGTTGGTTAGTTAGTTAGTTAGTCAGGTAGGTAGGTAGGTAGGTAGGTAGGTAGGTAGGTAGGTAGGCAGTCAGTCAGTCAGTCAGTCAGTTGGTTGGTTGCTCAGTCAGTTGGTTAAATATATAGGTTGAGACATAGATAAGATCTAGAGAGGGTAGGTAGGTAGCTAAATAAATGCACAGACAGATAAACAGACTGACAGATAGATTGGTTGATAAATAGATCGATAGATCGATTAGATGGTAGACAGATAGATAGATAGATAGATTGATAGATCGATCGATATATCGATCGATAGGTAGATAGTTCGAAGGATTGACCGATAGATAAAGATAGTGGAAATAAGAAACAGATAGCGCTAAATGCATGAGTAGATCATAAACTAAATTTGTGTGTGTGTGTGCTTGAGTCCCGAAACCTTTACCCTTCCAACCATAAACGAGCCAGAGGCTCAACCTACGCGAGCTTCGATCATGTTGAAACAACCAAAAACTAAACACATCGAACGGTATGCGTTCCTAAACACATCTTTCCCCACTCCCCTAATACTCAGCCCTAACCCGACGGGTCCAAGTACCTGATAATCATATACTCTTCTGAATACTAACCTACAAAAACCACTATCCGTAACCCAAGTACATGATTATGAGGTCCTGAGTACTAAGCTACAAAACCACTATCCGTAACCCAAGTACATGATTATGAGGTCCTGTGGACCCTTAGGGTAACCCCTAAACCCCTAAACCCTAAACCTGTGGACCGTTAGGGTAAAGTCTAAACGTCTGTCGAAGCCCTTACCCGAGCCTTGCTCTCCAAGAGGGCATCAATCTCACCGGTCGACAGCGTCCTTCGAACGGCTGACAGTGATACTGTTGATGGACAAAATCCTGCATGACCTTATATACCTAAACTATGGGATTTATGGTACTATACTATATTTGGGACATGCAGGATTTTGTCCATCAACAGTATCATCCCCACAGGCTCCATGTACTATATAGGTACTTTAAGGCCTAAGTACATACTATATGGGCACATGGAGCCTTAGGGATCACCAGTGCCTTCAGTCAAGGCTGCTGCTATCAATGCTTGTGCTGCTACCACTGCTGCTGCCAGGTACTGCTAGTGGTGCTACTGCTGCTGCTATCACTATTGTTACCGACACACACCACATCATCGGCACTTCTCTTCGGGCTGCGACCGCAAATGCGGTTCGTATAACCAGCATACAGCAAAGATCATTGTTGTCAGTACTGGAGTTGCCTTCCTTCGCTATTCGTGTTCTCAAGTTACTCACCGAACTAGCGCATGGTCTGCAACTTGCCCTTTTATGTGCAAGCTCCTCATCACTTTCTCTCCGGCAATGTCGTAGCCCACATGGTCTTCGTCTTTGTACCTCTGCAGAGGTTTCAGGAAGTTTGTTTCCTACGGCCCCTCAAGCCTGTGACCACAATCCTAAACCCACAACCCAAAACCCTTTATGCCCTTAAGATAGGCATCTCAAACGTAGCTCACAAGACAGGTAAGGGGCCGTAACATGGCGACGGAGGGCTTTCTATGCTGAGTCTGACATGTGCAATTGTGCGAAATCCTGAATTCCGAAAGCCTCAAGCCCTAGATTCCTAGATGAATCCGCGCTACACCAAAAACATCACAACGCCAAAACCCTGAACCCCAAACCAACCCTCATGAGTTGCAGACTATAAATAGCACATATCACTGCGCCTAGCTTTTACTCAAATTCGAACGACACACTAATCGCGAAATCTGCCAGGCTCACCACTCAAGGGGGACGTTGCCGATCCTGCAATAGCAAGGTGGCATCCGCGAGTGTTGGGCTTAGAGATTTAGCTCATTTTTCTGGGCTCCCGACCGATTTTTTCATCCACCCGACGTCAAAGCCCTTGGCTAAACCTACTTCCCCAATAAGCCAGGGAAATAAAAGCTTAAACTTTGAGATTGCTACTAAGTTTAAAGAACCCATAAAGTTTAAAGCTTGGGTACTTCAGAACTAAACCCTAAACCCTAAACCCTAAACCTTAAACCCTAAACCCTAAACCCTACAGGCTCCAAAGATTTCAGTCCCTCGACGCCCATCCGAGCTGACCCCTAGGGATGAAGCTTCCTGGTTTAGGGTTTAGGGTTTAGGGTTTAGGGTTTAGGGTTTGGTCGACAGGAATGTAGGGGCCTTAGTAGTTAGAATGGGGTTTTGGGGGGGTTCCTTTACAAGGTTCCTTAAAAGGGTTCCTTAAGGATGTACCTTTATAGTAGCTACTTAAGCCTCAAAGAGGTCCCTAAAAAGGTACTTAAGGGCTTGAGCATCCACTATAAAGGTACATGGAGCCTTTGGGTAGTTAGAATGGGGTTTTGGGGGGTTCCTTTAAAGGGTTCTATAAGGGCTACCATAAGGGCTTAGGGCGTAGGGGCCTTAATAATTAGAATGGGGGTTGCGGTGTGTATGATACCATCGCTATAATAAGGACCCCCCCCCTCCCAAAACCAAAGATAGTATAGGTAATTTTGTAGGCCCCTATATTAATGCAGCAGTGGGCTCACAGTCTCACTTGCAGGATCAGAGGACCTAGGGAAAGTCATGAGCAAGCCATGGCAGGGATGACTGGGTGTTGAGGGTTTAGGGGCTTAGAGATACGGTTGATGGACAAAATTCTGCATGACCCTATATCCCTAAACTATAGGAGTTATGGTACTATACTTAATATTTGGGTCATGCAGGATTTTGTCCATCAGCAGTATGCGGTCCCCCTAAACCCCAAACTCTAAGGGGGCGTAGGGCTTGGGATCTGAACCCACAACCCCACGGCGGTTTAGGGTTTAGGGTTTAGGGTTTAGGGCTCCCAAAGCATGCCAAACTCCAAACCCAATACCCTGGACAAATCCGAAAGCCTCCACCCTAAACCCCTTTATTATAGCCATTATGTAACTTATATGGAAGAATCGCTGCAGTATTTGTACAGCACACGTATAATCAGAATCCCTATGGACCATCTGCACATCTCTGGCACAGAAGTGAAAAGAAACCCCAGGCTGATAGTTTTGACTGGACTCTGAAAACATGGATAGTAGTCGTTGGCTGATAACGGTTTAGGGTTTAGGGTTTCGGAAACATCGAACAACGGCGGGCATTGGCTTATAGCTCAGGGAGTGGTAGGGTTCGGGAGCATTGCCTGATGGTGCGAACACGGCAAGCACTGCGTACAAGAACTTAGTCTTCACAAGCGAAGACAGGAGTTCGCATTATCGTTGTGAGACGTTTGAAGTCCGAAATTCCGAAAACGGCCTTCGTTACTTATCACCCAATCCAAGTTTGACCCTGCAAAACAGCTGCAACCCTCAAATCTCAACCCGAATAACACCCCCGTCTCCAGACGCTATATGAAGTCAGAGGCCCTACATCCCGCTTCAGTTCAAGGGCGAGGAAAAACCGTAAACTTAATAGCACCCCTGTGAATCCCATCGAGGAACCTTCTCATAGACTATAATATTATACTGTTATGAGGTTTCGATGTAATCTACCATAATTGTACTTGTACTATATGTAACTTACTTGAAGCCACAAAGGACCCTTGCATGACCGGCCTGTTTCTGGGCGCATCATCTTCCGAGTCGTCCGAGGAGCCGTCGTCGACGAGGCCGTCGTTCTCGGACTCGTCGTCGGTGTCCTGCTGAGGTTTAGGGTTTAGGGTTTAGGGTATTCAAGTAACCCTAAACCCTAAACCCTGAACCCTAAACCATCCAGGGCTGAATGGCTGAAGGTGTAGGGCCCTTGTTGTTCAAGGTTGAAGGCATTCAGGGTTAATGATTAATGGGCTTAAGGTTTAGGGCCAAAGCTTGAGGTTTGTAGTGTAAGAGCGTGGATAGTTAGAAATACTCTCCATTAAGATTAGCTACGCAAAACCCCTAGGTTTTTGTCTTGAGGCCACTGTAAAGTAACCACTCAGGGTTATGGGGTCTAAGATATGGGCCTTTCGGTTCAGAGTGTCGGGTCCACGGTTGAGGGTGTAGGGTTTAGGGTTTAGGGTTTAGGGTGTAGGGTTTAGGGTGTAGGGTTTAGGATTTAGGGTTTAGGGTGTAGGGTTTAGGGTTTAGAATTCAGGGTCCCTAAAGCCTAAACCCCAGGCCCCATAGGCTGGATAATCGCACAAAAACTTGGAGATCACACTACAGAGGCCTTTGCAGCAGACGTACGTCATCGTTTGCTGTGGTCGCTTTGCCCTTTTAATTCTGGAGCCGTGCGAACACAAACCTACTGTGCAAATCCTCAAGACCCTTGGCAAAGCCCTCATAAACCATGCACGAGAAACGCCCTAAACCCTAAACCCCAATCCCTAAACCCTAATCCCCAAACCCTAAACCCTAAACCCTAAACTCAAACCCAATCGCGCAAAGGCCCTCTCAACGGCCCCTGAGTTTGAAGCCTTAGATGTTCCTGTAACGCTCCATAGAACTCGCCGAGCCCCTGGTCACATAGGTGTGAACTTCGAACTCCAAAAAGCTGTTCTCTAATTTGGGTTTAGGGTGTAGGGTTTAGGGTTTAGGTTATGGGTAGTTTTTAGGGTAAAGCTGTTCTCTAATTTGGGTTTAAGGTGTAGGGTTTAGGGTTTAGGTTATGGGTAGTTTTTAGGGTTTAGGTTATGGGTAGTTCTCTAATTTGGGGTCCCTTTTAGGTCCCCTATATAGTACGGCACCCTTATAAAAAGGACCCGAAAAGGGGCCCGAATTTAGAGAACTACCCTTATGGGTTCTGTAACGTTCTAGAGTCTCAGGACTTGTGGCTGAGGAATTTCAGGTCTCGAATCCGAAACCCCGCCCAGAGTCACAACCCCTGAACCGGCACAACACATAAACTCGTAGAACCATCCCAGAAACACTTAATGTCGGGGCCTTAATAATTAGAATACGGTTTTGGGGGGTATATTATTATTATTATTATTATTATTCGACAAGTATAATAAGGAACCCACCAAAAAATCTATAGGCAATTATTAAGGCCCCTATATTAAACTCGTAGAACCATCCCAGAAATAACGCTAAACCCTAAACCCTAAACCCTAAAACCCTAAACCCTAAACCCTAAACCCTAAGCCCTAAACCCTAAACCCTTAACCCTTGAACCCTCCACCCGAAGCGCAGCCCGAAAATTCGCGAAGGATGCGCCTCCAAATCAGCTGCGTCGAGCTCCTTTGGCCAGGGCCATAGGGTTTCGGGTTTTTGGGTTTAGGGTTTAGGGGTTTGGGGGTTTAGGGTTTAGGGTTTAGGGGTTTAGGGTTTAGGGGTTTAGGGTTTTGGGGTTTGGCTTGAACGGCTTGGGGGTTCCAAACCATGCATTCCCCTGATTCAAAACCAAGTTCGGAGCCTTATCAGAGCGGGTGTACTGGATATTGCTGTTCTTCTCTTATAGTAAACCTCAAAAAGTTGGAAACCGGATCAAGGTCAAATAGTGCTGGGATTCCCTTCACATTACTCCTAAGGACTGAGGCCATTGGGTTTTCAACTTTTGGGCTTCTACTATAGATGACGAGGCTTGAGGATACTTGAGGCAACGCAAGGATCTGCATTTCGCGCTTGCTATTTAGGGCTTGCTTCGGAGCCTGCGAGCGGCTTCGGGATTGGAAGTGGCGGCTTTAGGATGCTCTCCGGAACTTAATGCTGGTTCTAAGGCACGCGGGTGCCCTGAATCTGGCAGGAGCAACCACCGAAAGGAGCGAGTTTGGACGGTAAGCTGCTCGACCTACGGCCAAAGCTGCCCTTCCTGCTGACTAAGATGTCGCGGTCGCATGCATGGTCAGAAAGGCTAATATAGGGGCCTAAGCAACTACATACACGACTTGCGGGGCTCCTTATTAGACGTATAGTATACTATACCCGCAAAACCCTATTCTAATTATTCAGGCCCCTACATTACAGTACGGAGATCAGGTTTCATGCTTTGCTGTCCAGCGCCCGGCTGAATCCTGCAGCAAGCTAAGGCTTGCAAGTACTAGCAATGCTGCTAACCACGGTCTTTGATCGCATTTAACGAGTTTTCAGAGCCATTGGCATTGCCGATAAAGCTATCAAAACTCGTACTCCTGTTCCCCGCACTACTCATCACAAGACTGAGGACTCCACCGTCTTGGGTGCCGCATTGCCTGGCATGGCCAACGCAGCAGCACAGGGGACGGGAGTGGTCAGGGGTACTGTCGGTAGTGCTCGTGGTCTAAACGCGATTACTATTTTCAATCTGAATACAGAGTAGCATATCCACACCAATGATGGGCCTGAAGGCATTGATTCAGAATAGGTTCCGCCAGTACCCTCCGGCTCAGAACATGTTATTACCTCCGAAGCAAACGGAACAGTACCATCGACGGGTACAGCAATGCAGTAAAGGCCTGCACAATCACATCACAACAGTTACCTATGCTCAGTAACCATTACCAATCACGACAGTAGCACACAGTTTCATGATTTCCAGGACTCTCTGGCTCGGGCTCATGGTTTACGGGGATGCCCTCAGCCCTAATCCGTGACTTAACGTGATCTCTGACATACCAAGGACAAAAAGCTTCCAAAGCACGCAGAGGCTGATGGTTAAGGGTGTATTGCTCGGGATTCGTTTTTTTCGGGCCTGGGCTAATCCAAAGGGACCTAAGAACCTATATGGGGGATACTTACCCTAACCATAGTAGTAATTCCACCTATAAACACCCTTCTTTCTACTGCGTTGGTACTTAGGACCTTTTGGGCAACGGCAGAACCAGTTTGGGATTCTGACAGAAAGCTCTGCATGCCTTCGCTGGCAGGGGGCGGCGATGGTTCTTCGGCTGCAGCTCCTACAACAGATGCTTTTGAGGCAGGGTTCAGGGCTGTAGGGTTTGGGGATCTTGGTTTAGCGCGTTTGGATTTTAGGGTTTACGACTACGTATCGGGGGGTCCCTAACTTTGTCGGACTCCTCGGGCTCAAAATTCAACTTGAGCTCTCTCTCTCTCTCTGTCTCTCGCGCTCTCTCTCTCTCTCTCTCTTTATATATATATATATATATATATATCTCTCTCTCTCTCTCTCTAAACCTCTACGTAATTTGTACCGAACCCGATAGTCCCCCTGACAAAATACCCGTAACCAACCTTAAACCACAAAACCACAATGCCCGGGCCTTCGCTGGACACTCGGCGCTTCTTCACCCTGTCGAAGAGTGCATGCGGCTTTCGGTTTAACGGTTTCGTGTAAGGTTCGTAGGCACTTTTTAGGAGCTTCAGGTTTTGGGATTTAGGACGTTGCCGATTTCTACAGCCTTTAGGTTCACGGTAATGCCTCCTTTAAGGACCCGCATATATATGTAGCTTCTTTCTGTAAGGTTCCTTATGTTGTGAAGCTCGCACGTCTGTCTGCCGATCTGTGTTTGTCTCACTTTCGCTGTTGTTCATGCCCGGTTGGAAACATGAACCAACTTTCTCGGGAGGGCAGCGGCAGGAAATGCATGGCTGAAACGGAACTGCTAGCCTTCTTTCGGTTTTGGGCCCACAAGTTGCTGCAATGCATGCGTTCCAAAGATTTGTTTGCGAAGTCTCTCAGAGAGGCAAGTTGCATTTCGGTGATTGTCTCGCAGACACAAAGCTCATATCTTCCCACCGTTTCCCGTGACGTGCAGCATCTAGAGTTTGAAGTTATGCCGTGCCACCACCCAAACTGCTAAAGAGGAACCAAGAGAACCGCGAGTTTCTATAGTTAACTTACTGATGATTTGTAGTGGCCGTCGTGGTGGCGAAGGTGGTGATGGTGGTGCGGTGGTCGCAGTGGAAGTCGTAGTCGCAGTCAGTAGTGGTAGTAGATGTAGTAGTAGATGTAGATGTAGATGTAGATGTAGATGTAGATGTAGATGTAGATGTAGATGTAGATGTAGATGTAGATGTAGTAGTAGTAGTAGTAGTAGTAGTAGTAGCAGCAGCAGCAGCAGCAGCAAAAGCAGTCGTAGTAGTCGGGGTGATAGGAGCAGTAGCAGCAGTAGTAGTAGTAGTAATAGTAGCAGCGGTAGTCTTAGTGGTAGTAAACTAGGGTAGCAGCGGCAGTATCAGCAGCACTTGCAGCACTCCAAAGGGGGAGGAACGCGAGGAGTCGTACCGGTATTGGTGGTGGCCGTGGCCGTCCTAGATAATTACCTGGTACTCCTGTGCATGCCTGCTGCTACTCTATGGCAGTGCTACGGCTGTGATTGTTACCGGTGCTAGCCTCCCATGTGTACTTTCGCGCGACATTGGCTCAACACTACCACGAATGACGAGATTCAATTGTACACGCGACCCTCAGAACTGTTGCTGTCAATCCGGCAGCGTGTTATGCTGTGGACCTCTCTTGCCAGAAGGCGGTCATTGTGGCAATTGTTCATTGTCGTTGTCTAAGTTCCAATGGTTCGAGGAGAGAATAGCCGCATTGCAGGGGCCGGGAATGCGCAGAGCCAACCAAAAACATACTGTTTATGTTCGCTTGACACAACTAGAGAGGAAAACATATGCAGAGCACGGAACGATGGCTTATGACGCAAAGGACTGTGCGGCTTCTGGCCTAGGAGACGCCAGGTGCAGAAGGCATGCTCAGCGATTCATGATGTATTTTGACTCTTCCTGGCCCCCAAAAGTATGTAGAATAACAGTTTTTTAGCCGCTTTCGCCATTATTGTACCTTCCTTTAGGGATTTAGGCTCCAACCCACTGACCAGAAACCACCCGGCCCGACGCAGCACCTCAACTGCATAGTTCATGAGTGCTCTGGCCTACCCATAGGCCCCATAGTAGATCCTACTAGGTAATCCCAAAAAGGACCGTAACGACTAATGGGTTGAGCCTTTCCTGCTCCAGTACTTAGGGTCAGTCAGAGACTCTAGGTTGCCTCTAGGATGCGTGTGGACACTGTTCTTGGATAAGATCCTCTGAGGCCCAATATTGGCGGAAAGTATGACGTATCCGAGTGGCCCTACCAGAAAATAGGGTGGGCATGGATAAGTTCACCAGGAACGCGCTCTACGGTGTCAAAGGCTTCATCTTCCGGGCAGATGCCCTCCCACGACCAGGTTGGTGGGATTCGACAAGTGGGTGTGCGCGTGTAGGAAAAGTCATCGGGATCATGACAGGATCCCAGACCCTATATTAAGTTGCATGATGGATCTCATAGTATGAAACGGCTTACTATGTTGGGATTCCCCTGCCTAGCCTAAACCCTACTTTCATCCCAGCTGTAGACCCCTTTGCAAGAAAGTGTGGGCGCAGCCTGCCTTCGACTTGGAGGCACTTTGATTCAGTACGTAAAGGGTGTTTATGGTCTAGGGTCAGGGGGGTTGCCGGATTCGGGATATCAAGTGTTTTCCTAAACCCTAAACCCTAAACCCTAAACCCTTTTGAGGGTCGCTGGGGCTACCGTGAGAAGATTCTCTTCCAAGCATCTTGATCCTGACTTTATGTAGGGGCCTTTATAATTAGGATAGGGTTTGGGGGCCCACTATACTAGACTTATAATAAGGAGCCCCCAAAATAGTATAGGTAATTATTAAGGCCCCTATAGTACCAAGTCTAACAGGGTGTAGGTGTAGGTGTGCACATTGAGCCAACAGACAAGACTCACAGGGTCTCGCCTTCCTACTACCGCTACTATTTGGGTAGTTATCTAAATTGGGGTCCCTGTGTAGGTCCCCGATATAGCACGGCACCTTATAGAAAGGACCCCGGAAGGGACCCTATTTTCGAGAACTACCTATTTCTGAATGCTCACTTCCATTACCTTTTAATCCACGATTCATGAAGGATCCCAACACTCGACTGGCTTAGGGTGTCAGGCCTTGCGGACTTTGCAGGGCCTTCCTGACCATGCAACGAACAAACTGCAGCCTTGCTGATTGCTATAGGGCCTGAAAAGTCAGAACATAGGGTTTAGGGTTTAGGG